ATCCAGTCTTATTTAGTCAACTCCATTCAAGAAGATAGCCACAATTAGCTGATCTAATTTAAACAGCTAATGTAACTCAGCCTTTAAGCTTCCATCTGAAGCTGAAGAAGTGTCTCTGTGTAAACACCTCCCCCTGGTGGCAGCAGCAGGTTCCAGTATTTCATCTTCCTGAAACTGACTCCTCCTCAGTGAAGCTGAAGTTGCTGATGTGGTATTCTTTATGTTCCTGCAGAAGAGACACGGTGCCGTCAGTCAGTTTGGAGCTTCATGAGCAGAACCTGAGAGGAAACAGAACAGCTGAAGATTTCAACTCTCACCACCTCCTGCAGCAGCATCTCTACAAGTCCAGGAACCAGGTGGACAAGTCCAGATACAGCTAAATGTCCTCACCTAGGCTGTTTTCTGTCCTTATCTCGATTGTCTCCTGTCCTTATCTCAATTGTCTCCTGTCCTTATCTCAATTGTCTCATGTCCTTACCTAGATTGTCTCCTGTCCTTAACTTGGCTGTCTCCTGTCTTTATCTTGTCTCCTGTCCTTATCTTGATTGTCTTGTGTCCGTATCGATTGTCTCCTGTCCTTACCTTGATTGTCTTCTGTCCTTATCTCGATTGTCTCCTGTCCTTATTATCTCGATTGTCTCCTGTCCTTACCTTGATTGTCTTTTGTCCTTATCTCGATTGTCTCCTGTCCTTATCTCAATTGTCTCATGTCCTTACCTAGATTGTCTCCTGTCCTTAACTTGGCTGTCTTCTGTCCTTATCTCAATTGTCTCCTGTCTTTATCTTGTCTCCTGTCCTTATCTTGATTGTCTTGTGTCCTTATCGATTGTCTCCTGTCCTTATCTCGATTGTCTCCTGTCCTTATTCTCGATTGTCTCCTGTCCTTACCTCGATTGTCTCCTGTCCTTACCTTGATTGTCTTGTGTCCTTATCTCGATTGTCTCCTGTCCTTATCTCGATTGTCACCTGTCCTTACCTCGATTGTCTCCTGTTCTTATCTCGATTGTCTCCTGTCCTTACCTTGACTGTATTGTGTCCTTACCTAGACTGTCTCCTGTCCTTAACTTGTCTCCTGTCCTTAACTCGATTGTCTCCTGTCCTTACCTCGATTGTCTTCTGTCCTTATCTCGATTGTCTCCTGTCCTTACCTTGACTGTCTCCTCTCCTCAACTTGTCTCCTGTCCTTACCTCGATTGTCTCCTGTCCTTATCTCGATTGTCTCCTGTCCTTATCTTGTCTCCTGTCCTTACCTCGACTGTCTCCTGTCCTTATCTTGTGTCCTTATCTCGATTGTCTTCTGTCCTTACCTCGACTGTCTCCTGTCCTTACCTCGATTATCTTGTGTCCTTACCTCGATTGTCTCCTGTCCTTATCTCGATTGTCTCCTGTCCTTATCTTGTCTCCTGTCCTTATCTCGATTGTCTCCTGTCCTTGTCTCCTGTCCTTATCTTGTCTCCTGTCCTTACCTCGACTGTCTCCTGTCCTTATCTTGTGTCCTTATCTCGATTGTCTTCTGTCCTTACCTCGACTGTCTCCTGCCCTTACCTTGATTGTCTCCTGTCCTTATCTTGGCTGTCTTCTGTCCTTACCTCGATTGTCTCCTGTCTTTATCTTGTCTCCTATCCTTACCTTGATTGTCTTGTGTCCTTATCTCGGTTGTCTCCTGTCCTTATCTTGTCTCCTGTCCTTATCTCGATCGTCTCATGTCCTTACCTTGTCTTCTGTCCTTATCTCGATTGTCTCCTGTCCTTATTTTGGCTGTCTTCTGTCCTTACCTCGATTGTCTCCTGTCTTTATCTTGATTGTCTCCTGTCCTTATCTCAATTGTCTTCTGTCCTTTCCTCGACTGTCTCCTGTCCTTACCTTGATTATCTTGTGTCCTTACCTCGACTGTCTCCTGTCCTCACTTTGATTGTCTTCTGCTCTGAAGCACCGACACAGGTACAGCCGAAGCCACTTTGATATCAACAAAGATGAAGACGAAGTCCTGGAGATCTTCCAGAGGACCATGAAGAGTCGCCTGGAGTCCTTCAAGTCTGGAAAGATGGGCGTGGCCCCGCCAAAGACGATAACAAAACATTCGAAGAAAGATCAGCAGCCTAAGGTCTGAGACAAAACATTTTATATGCTGAACTTTTAATAATTCACAAAAGTAGAAAAACAATAAAAACCTAAAAGTAAAAG